TAATAATTTATTCCTGTGATTTAAAACAAAAAAGCATGTAAATAAAAGACGCTCCTAATTTCCAGGTAACTTGGATAAACATTAATTTTGCAGAAGTTTATTTTTATTTTTTTGCATCAGTCAGCTTTTAAAACCAACAGTTTACTTTTACACAATTATGTGTGTGTAATTGTTGCATGTTGTGTTCTATTACACAACAAACCAAGATATTGTGTAATATTTTCTGATACGAGTGTAAGTACAGTCAGGTACTTTGAGGCAGATGCGGCTCAAACTGACCACTCAGTTGTTTCTGCCTTTACGCTAACGTTACATCATGGARTAAAAGCGGGTAGCCCTCCTGCTGCCCTTGGGTTAAAATGACTGAACGTCCCTCGGTGGTGATTACAGGGATCCGGCTCGAGTGCCAGTTTCACACCCTCGCGAGTCCTGTGAGAACGAGCGTGGCCTCCAGAGACGAGAGGTGAAAGGGTAATCCAATCCCATCTGCTGACGCAGCCACGCTCGGACAGAGTATCCGACTGATTCTGTTTGAAAAACATAAACTGTGTCAGTGGCACAATCAGTCTGAATAAATCATGACTTGACACAACTCCCAGCGCTGTTATTTAGCAGGAAACCAACAAAGCGAGGGGAGGGGGGGCAGGAAGCTGAACTTCCCTGTTAAACATTGTTTCAGGTCTTGGTTTGCAGCTTCTATTAAACCATAAATCTTGTCTTTAATTTGCTTTTTCCATCAAAGATTTTATTTTGTAGTACAGAAACCTTCAACAGTATTCTTTCAAATGTCACCACACACACACACACACACACACACACACACACACACTGAAACCAGACCCTCTGAGGAGCTGATACTGGACCTTTGTGTTTCAGGTGATCACAGCAGCCAGACGATTGAAAACCAAATTAACTTTCCTTCCCACTGACTCTTGAGTGAGCTGAAGCCAATCAGGTGCAAACAAGTTAGACGAGCCGGAGATGCTGGGACGTCTTTAAAAAGTGTTGAAATGATCGTGTGTGTGTGTCAGAGATTTTTAATCTGTACAGAGAGCAGCAGCCAGAGTCAATAAAACAAACACACAATTAAAATTTCCAGAGTGATAAAAAAACTGCTTGATATAGCTTCTTGGAAATGCATTGTGTGAAAGTACTTTATAACATCCGGTTAAAAGTGACAGTTTAGATCTTTTAAAGTGAAGTTTCTATGGAAAGGTTAGGAGCAGAAAATATCTTAMCTGTGCAGATGGCTTTTTATTAGCGCTTCATCCATCCACAAAAATGTTTGAGACTGTAGCTTTAGGATGGTAGCAATTCACTTTGGTCAGACTACACACRAGCACATAATACCAGGTAAAATGTAACTTTTCCACAGAAACTCCATGTCAAACGATCTGAACCGTCTCTTTAGTTGGTGTTGGATTTAAATGCTTTCATAAGTGAGTCAAGTTTTCCTGATCAAAAAGCCAATCTTGTGCACAAGAAAGCAATTATATATCACTCATAAAACTTTATACGTGGACTCTCAAAATCGATTAAAATCACTAATAAGGATAAAAAAAAATTCAACAGGAAATAAAGAACTGTGTTCCTGCTGTATGTTTTTTTTTCCCCTGGGTTAAATCTCTTGGGTTTGGACAAACACTTTTTAAAATTTATTTATTTATTTACTGTTATTTAACCAGGCAAGTCCTGCTGAGATCGCAAATCTCTTTTTCAAGGGAGGCCTGGGCCTGAAGGCAACCTATTGTGTATGTTTTTTGGGGGTGGGGGAAACCGGAGTAGAAAACCCATGCAAGCACGAGGAGAACGTGCAGACTTTGCACAGAAAGACCCCAGGTCTGAACTGAGGATCGAACCCAGGACCTCCTTGCTGTGAGGCGTCAGTGCTAACCGCTGAGCCATCGTGCTGCCAACTTTTATAATGTCACAGCGTACAGTACAGTCCGTGTGCTGCAAATATCTTTGATAGCAATTTAAAATAAAAGATCACCTTTAAACAAAGCAGCAGCTTCATCTTCCACCATTTATGTTCTTTAAGTCAACAGTCTGGATTCAGCAGGCGGTCATGTTCTCTCTCCTCAGGTGACGAGGTATTTTTACATCAGTTAGAACATCGCAAACTGTTTTTTAGTTTCTTGTACACATGTGAATCAACAATACTGACAGGTGTTAAAACAGAGAAAATCTAAGGCCCTGTTCACACCTGTCTCTAACATGATTCAACATGTGCTCAACTGTTTTCTACACAACCTTGCAGCCACATCATTAAAACAACAAAACACACCTTTTTTATTGAGAAGGAATCTGAGAAACAGCTCATTAAAACTTTAGAGACAAAATAAACTGACTCATAAAGGCAAATATATCCAAGGACGGGTTGTTCAGTTGTTATCTGTATTCATTCTGAAGTATATATTTCTTTTCTTTATTTAACCCAGAGACAGCCAGGTAATAATTTAAGGCTGTTCACATCTGTATTTAGCAACATCTGGATGCAATCTGATTGCTAAAGATGTGTGTAAGTGCCAAGTGTGGATGGAGGTATAAAGCTTCTAGTCTTTTATATATGTGTTAGCTGATAAATCTTTGAGATTAGTGCTTTAAAAAGACATTTGCTGTAACCGTAGACCACGTGTCAAACTCATGGCCAGTGGGCCAAATCTGGCCCTCATTAAGGTTTGATCCAGCCCCAAAGGTAATACTTTAAATGTACAATATTTTTATGTTTTATTTATTTATTTTTTTTTTTGTTGTTGTTGCTGGATTTAGTGCATTCTTCTCATGACATCCAGCAAAGTGAAAAAAAAAATTAAGTTAGAATTTTTCAGCAATCTTTGATTCTGGTGTGAAAAGAGCAGCAGAGAATCAACTTTATATTTTTCTGCATTCTTTTATTTTGAAGTCAAATAAGAATTTTAGTGAGTTTCCATTTTGTCCTACCTGATTTGCTGGATTATGATAAAAAGTATCTCTAAGAAATAATAATTAGTTTTGGTAGAGAGTAAGGCATAAGAAATTAATGCTGAGTCTTTCTAAATTTATTAATTTTTCTTTATCCATTAGGTTATTATGTTCTAAATATTATATAATTTGGAAAAGGTAACTTGTATTTTTATAAGGTTAATTTGTTTTACATTTTGTCAGTAAATACTGACAAAAATTGGCCATTGACTTGGACCTACAGTAGTTTTGATTTTTGGTCCCCTGAGTTTGACACTTACACCATAGACTGTATCAAATACCTGCTACACAAACAAAAGGGTAAGGTTCTCATTCAACAAACTGTGTGTGTTTTTGTGCAGAGAGCCTGATATCCCTGCTTGGGCTCCTTTACTCTACCAGCTACAGCTGCTGGATGTCAGAGAGAAACCCGACCCGTTAACGCTGCCCATCGCTGACCGCATCCGCATCGGCAACCAGAAGCGAGAGCGTGGAAACTTTCACTACCAGAGGGAGGAGTACAGCCTGGCTGCCAAAGCTTACTGCGTGGCCCTGGAGGTGCTAACCACACGCGGCGCAGGTAACTATCGTAGACATGGACGTGATCGTCTGGAAATTCTGTTGATTCAACCGGGGAACGCGTGAAAATGAGGAGAAACGCACCRTGTCCRATCCGAGCGTCAGCGACCTCACCGACCCCAGAATGACACAAAACAAGTGTTCTCCTCCACTTCACTCCGCTAATCACAGCGWGTCCATGCAGAGCCACGGCCGTCTGGGTCGAGCGCCACCGTAAATGTTTCTGCCTAATTCTTTTCGCATAATCAAAGCCAATCACCTCTCCTACTCCCACCTTCTTAATCACCCTAATCATTGACGAGGCGGAGAAGGCCCGAGAGAGAAATGTGGCCGAACGAGACGACGAGATACAAACTGCTTCATAATGAATAAATGGTGGCTGAATACGATGTGGCGCTGAAGAGTAGAGTTTATCAAAGCATCCAGATCAGCTTATTAGTCAATGAAGAAGATGGATGGAGAGACATCTTAGTTCTTCACACGTGTTCTGTAATAAAACTCAAAYATATTACAGATGTCACTGAAGAAGAGGTCTGACTTCACCTGATTACCCTTACTGAGTGACCTTAGAAAATAAATAAATGACAATTCAGTGGGTTTTACAGATACTGTGTTCAAACCTGATGTGGTTGGACCTAGATAACATCCCAAACACCCTAGATGACGGGTGCTATCAGCTGTGTGTCTGTTGTCTGTTCAGATGGCAGCGACGTCGGCGGGAGAGCAGAGGAGGAAGAGGTGCGGGAATACCGAGTGAAGTGCTTTAACAACCTGGCCACCGCTCAGCTCAAACTGGAGCAGTTCGACGAGGCGCTGCGCACCAGCAGGAACGTCCTGACCCTCGAGCCAAACAATGTCAAGGCCCTTTTCAGGACGGGAAAGGTCAGCGACCAGAACTGTCACCCTTTAGATGTTGGGGAGGGCTCATCGACACAAAGAACTCAAGTTAATGTTTAGATTTTAATAACAGCAATACATTTAAAAACATAATACATGTAAACAATGGAGGAGCCAGTCAATTTTTWTAGGGGTRGCCAGACTGGGACCACTGGTCACACAAAGGGGACCCAGAAAATTACACRTTTTTTTTTTCTTTCCTACATGACGATTTGCTGAGGATCAAATCATGKTTTTGGTCATTTTCCCCTCACACAGACAATGACTGTCATGTAGAATTACCTGTTTGAGCAGTGCTGTGGAAATTAATAAGTTGCATATAAAATAGCTTTGCAAAGCTATGGTTGGGGTGGCTACCCCCCGGCTCTACCTCAGCATGTAAATAAACACAGTAATAAAAATAATGAATTTTATTTATAAACGCACTTTATATTTTAGAAAAAAAATCTCAAAAATGCTACAATCAAATGCAGTAGYAACAATACAAATAGAATGAAATACATTTTTCATGTTAAAAAGTTAAAAATAAAAACACATTAATTAAAGGAAATCAATAAGAACACTAAGTAATAAAAAGGTTTCTATGCCTGTTTTGAAGCCTGTCACAGTCTGTGGAGCCATAAGATGAGGAGGCAAGGTAATATATAATATAGATAAAATATATATATCTTACATACATATAAATCTTTCTGGCCTTTTGGTATGGGGAAAAATACTTGGTTTTAAGTAAGTTGCAACAGTTTTAATTGAACGTACAGCAAATTAATAAATGATCAAAAATAAAAAGTTATGTCTTTTGCACTGCAATGTTCTAGTTCGCCTCTACCTACTAATAAAGCCATTTTTTATTGTTTAATTACTTTTAGTGACAGGAAAGTCCATGAATTTTTAAACACAATCCTTATAATGTGAATGTTTACCAGTCAAAATGTGATCATAGTGATAAAACTCGTAAAAGCTAGACACGTAACGAGTGGGTTTAACTTTATTACTGACCTTTACGGGATGGGCAGATCTGTTGGGGGTTTGAATAATGGTAAGGGGAAAAGTGTTGCACTGGTTGTTTTTAAAGTTTGACCAAAAGAATGTAAAATTGGTTGATTTTTGTTTGAATTAAACATTTTTTGGGGAAAAAAAGGGCAGTATTAAGATTTTTTTTCTCTTCTTTCTGCTTCCTTTCATTTATGGCTTGTTTTGTTTTTTGTTTTTTTTCCATTGTAAATTGTATTTTGTTGTAATGAATGAATGAAGTGATCTTAAATTAAAGCTCTGGCATAAAAAGTGGCGGGTGATAAGCGTTCCTTTAAGAAATGCTAGGCCTTTAATCTGATCTGATTAACACATAAATAATGAGTGCAGTAAGGGTTCCTGGAAACAAATTGTTGTTTTAACGTTAAATTAAATTCCATTTTAATGTGTGTGTGTGGACACTGTTACATTGTTGGCTCTTTTGATTTCTAGCTGCTCACATTGCAAGTCTTCTAATCTCTTTCAGCTGCTGTCAGATAAGGGTGAATACAAAGAGGCGATGGAGGTGCTAAAGAAGGCCTTGAAACTGGAGCCGACCACCAAGGTGAGSGTTTTTCCTCAAACTCTTTTTTTGGACCTTTCACTCTAATTTTCACATTCTGTTAACTTTAATAAATTAGTTTGAATGGAATAGCTTGTTTTTGCAGCTTTGAGCATCTACTTTTTGTTTTATTTGGTAAACGACTTGTTTAGAGCTTGAAGAGCTTCCTAACAGACCTTGAACATCATTTGTGAGTCTCAAATGTACCTAAGATGGGAGAAGTCAAATCTTTTCAGCTACAAAACCCACTTGGGGAATTGAGATTATGTCTAGAGAACGGCTCTTCAGAACAGAAACTTCACTCTGCGGCCTCTGTTTAAGGACGTGGGCGTGAAGCGGTGCAGGGTGTGAGGAGGATTTTCCATCAGCTGTTTACAAAACACAGCAGCCAGTATTACAGTGACCTGACACACGGGGCAAGCTGCCACCCTCACAAATATGTCTGGTCTGGTCTAGACCAAACGAAAACAGCTGCTTTTGAGAGAGAAGTAGTTCAGTAAATTTATTTAAACACCTGGGATWAAGTTTCAGGTTAAAATGAATCGATATTGTTGCTCTTTTTGCACGTTGAAAGATTTGTTTTGAACCTCATCAGGCGATCCACGCAGAGTTATCCAAACTTGTCCAAAGACAATCAGGAAGCAACGACGCCCAGCAGTGGAAAGCCAAACCTGCAGCGATGCTCGGAGACGATATCACACCGTTCCTGATTCCTTCCAAGAAGAAAACATCTGTAAGCCTCTGACACAGCTGCAGTCTTACGTTTCCTCAACAGAAAGATTCAAACGGGTTTTGTGTTTTTTAGGGAATTTCCTGGAAGTTCATCCTGGGAGCTCTGCTGGTGGCTCTGGGCAGCTTAGTGGCGTCGCTGATTCTGACTGCAAGAAACTGAAAATCCTCCACGGGAAGGAAAACCCCGTCGGGACATACGGGAGCAGGTCGGTCTCTGTTCCACCTCGGACCAGAGAACAGCAGCACCTGGCGTCCGTACTCGTGTTTGTGAGAGTTTCAACAAAAAGTGGATCGAAGAGTCGAGTGAAATCCTAATCAATGAAGCCAGCACGAGTTTCTGAAAGTTTTTTTTTCTCAGTTCCTTTTATTTGGGTAATTTTTAATGACTCTAAAAATGTTCTGACATCACAGATGCAGAGGCAGTAAGAAGAAAATCTACTTGAAAAAATTAAACTGGTACATGAAAAAAAACTAATCAAAAAATTTGATCAGGGCTCAGAGGCAATGTGTCCAAAACAAAAAAAATATATATATA